AAAATTTAGAGAATTACTAAAGGAAAAACTTTTTTTTTTTTTTTTTAGTATTTGGATGGACTGGTTTGAACCACTGTTAGAAATAAAAACCTATATTTGCGCCATTAAGGAGACTTGCTCTAATTGGCCTGATTACCAATATCACCGGGAATAAAAGTGAGGGTGAATGCAAAGCTTTCAGTTACCACCAGAACAGGAATAGAGGACAAATCTTCCAATGGGGACACATGTTCCCATGGCAATTGTCTAAGAGGGGATTTCTCTCACGTTGGAAAGGACTCAAAGGAAATCTTCCTCCTCACCACAAAAAAAAAAAAAGTGCAAAAAAAAGAAAAAGAAACTGACAACAGTTTTAACCCTCCCCTACTCTATCCTAATGAAAAAAATTCTGTTGGCTTTAGATATACTTCTAAGTGGAAGTAAAGTCAGTTTTTAAAAGAAAACCACTAACATTTAATGACACAAGAGCTGAGAAGAGACTGTCATAATTGCTTCTCCCTGGACGGAAATAATTTACTTTTGCGTATGCGCTGTGTTCTTGCTACACTTTTTGACGAACTAAAACGCCAATGATTCATCGATTTTCGTTCAGTCTGAGAAAAATATTACAACCTGACTGATCGAAAAATTTCGATCACAATATCAAAAATGAAAATTGGTGATGTACCATCAACTGTTTGATTTGCGTGCAAAAGACTGTTTGTGTACGATTTCTTAAACCGAAAACCTACAATTTATGGCCACCTTTACTCTTGTGCGCATGTGCAGGAGTTATGTCATCCCAGCTCGGCCAATGAAGAAGGTGAAGACACTGAATCCGAAAAGACCACAGGGAGAAGATGAATGCGCCAGTGACGGAGAGGAGTGCTGACATCGCAGCACAGGAAGGAATGTCTTGCAAGATATAATATATGCTGTGCGCACTAGTACATTACTGCAAACACCTCCTAGGGGCCCAAAATGTTTATTTTGTGATGGCGGTTTACAACCTCTTTAACTAGGCTCAATGTGCAGTTGCACTTTAAGATCCGCACCTCGCCCCGACTCCTTAACAGTTAAAATGTAATGTATTGGAGGTTACCGGATACTTAGATGTGGTAACTGCATTTGTTTTCTTCTTTTTTTGTTTCATCAGGGTTTGTTACCTTTATCTTCACCTGCTTATCCCACCAGTAACATACTTCCTGTCACAACAACACTCACGTATCATACTGTATCTACGGTGTTCCCCTAGGACAGAAGTCATGTGGGGGGGGGGGGTGCTTTCTATTGTTATCAAAGATAGCAGGGAACTACATGACTAATAAGAGTAAAGCGCAGGAAGTTATTGTCTCACTGGAGAAAGAGAAATAAGAAAAGATCCGCCCAGCTGCGTGAGTGACAGCTGGCTCTGCCAATCTAGAGGCAGAGCCAGCTGTACCCGCCCCCCATCCGTCCGTTCCGCCAGTCAGCGTTGGAGGATCGGAGCGGGAGGAATCCAGCCACTCCCCTGTCACTGCAGAGAGCTGTGACAGGATCGAGAAGTGAGCGAACGCCGGTATGTGTTCTGTGTTCGCTCACTTCCCGATCTAGTGAGCCGACCTGTGACAGTCTCATTGTCACAGGTCAGCTAGAACTATGAGATGAGTGAAAAGCACTAACCTCATAGTTCTCCTTTAAATAAACTTTAAGATTTAATAAACAGATGGTCACATAAGCCAAATGATAACTGGTTCTATTTAGGGCCTATTCACATGAGATCAGGTCCTGATCAGCAGACGTGGAGCTGCTGATGCAGTGCGTTTTTAATGCGTTTTCGGTCCGGATGCTGACAGTTAATTATTTGTCAACGTTGAGGACATCATAATAAGTGGAGCAAGAATACAATTTTTTCTTTTTTTTCCCCCCTTAGCTGCATTGCGTTGCGTTTCCGTTCCGTTTTGTAAGCGTTTGCGTATCCGGACCGTTTCCGGACCTGACAAAATGTGACATGCATTGTTTTTTCTGTCGTAAGCTGAACGGACTGCGCACGCGAGAACTGGAGCCCATAAAACACATAGGGATACATTGGGATGCATTTTGAGTGCAGCAGCGTACGGAGCCGGTCAGCACACAAAACAGACGTCGTGTGAACAGGCCCTTAAACCTGGACAGTTTTAACAGTTAGGGCTCATGCACATAAACACAGGCATATGGGAATGCAGTGTAACACATGCCTGTCTCTGCAGAGCCTGGAAGCCCCATCTGCTGCGTTTTTGTGCCTATAGGAATGTAATGACAAAATACACTGCACTGCAGGCAATCACATATGGGTGTAAATTACCAAATGTGAAATGTGCGCAGGTATGCGAATGTAAAGAGCAGTACTTGCATTCACATGCGCACGCCAATGGCCATCAATTCCATAACACAGAAGTTTCACGTTCAAGAATTTACACTTATACACATGCAGGGGTGAACTCAAGTACCAGAGTTTACACATGTTATATGCATGTACATAGTTTGTCAATTGGCACAAAAATTAGCAGCAAGTGCTCCTGGGCATGGCAACTACAGACATGTTTTACGCTGCATGCCCATTTTCCTGTATTTACGTCCATGTGCATGAGCCCTAATAGTAAGAGATGATTCAGAAGCCTCTTTCCCTGCTAACGTAGCGACCTCACGTTAAAACACGCAAACAAGATACTGCAATATGGCATGATAAACAAACGACACGTTATATTCACAGCCGTTGTCTAAAATGTAAAATATATAAACCCCCCTCCCCTCAGGATAAGCTGCTAACATTATACAGCACCATTATAGTTTGTCAGTTTATCTGGGTTAGCTCACATTTAAAACTTTCCGTTCAGACATGTTTCAATCCTCATAGGTCCATCCGGGAAGTCGCATACAGTAGCACGTCTCCAATATGTCAAACTACTATTGGTTGTGCGTAAAACGACGTCTGAAACGTCTCATTGCAAATGCCAGTATGGTCCCCATTTTACTGGAGCTCAAATGCGAAGGATTCCTGCGGATTCCGAAAGCTCCAAGCCGTCGAGATCACAACTGGTGACGTCACGTCCGGTGACTTGCCAGTAGACGATTGAGACCAGATGTCGCTAGTGTGCGTGCGCCAGCAGTCACACAACGGTGAATGAATTGTTGCTGTTCCTGTGCGGCCACCCGATGGCACAACATGTAATTTGTCAGCAGAAGATACTCTCTAATTGGCTGCCTTTGGTTTGCAATGATTGGCTAATAGCTAATATTCCGAGCGTTGGGTGGCCCGGCGTTCTATCAAAGTTTGTGACCAATTTGGAATGTGTGACTGGTGACGTGGTCTGCCTGGAACAGCTGATCGGTGTCAAATGTCACTTATATCGGACTTTGTGAGTGCTGCAGAGTAAGGTGATTCACAAACAGTAACTGCAGCAGTGTTGCAAGCACCGCAGATATATTTTTTACATATATGCGATGCTCGCTAATTTTAACACTTTCACCATCCTCTGCGGCACTCACAAAGTCCGATAAAAGTGACATTTCAGACCGATCAGCTGTTCCAGGCAGATGGGTTCTCCTGCACATGCGCAGTGAGCCGAACTGCCGACAACGTGTTGGAATGCTTGACCTAATGGGCAGTCACATTCCACCGCTGTCAAACTGGGCGGGACCACATTGGAATGTGTGACCATGTCACCGTTCACACATTCCAACGTAGTCACAAACTTTATTGAACACCTGCAGGCGGCTTGACCGGGGTTGGAGGACTCGACTGGGATTCCCTGTCACTGCAGAGAGCTGTGACAGGATCGAGAAGTGAGCGAACGCCGGTATGTGTTCTGTGTTCGCTCACTTCCCGATCTAGTGAGCCGACCTGTGACAGTCTCATTGTCACAGGTCAGCTAGAACTATGAGATGAGTGAAAAGCACTAACCTCATAGTTCTCCTTTAAATAAACTTTAAGATTTAATAAACAGATGGTCACATAAGCCAAATGATAACTGGTTCTATTTAGGGCCTATTCACATGAGATCAGGTCCTGATCAGCAGACGTGGAGCTGCTGATGCAGTGCGTTTTTAATGCGTTTTCGGTCCGGATGCTGACAGTTAATTATTTGTCAACGTTGAGGACATCATAATAAGTGGAGCAAGAATACAATTTTTTCTTTTTTTTCCCCCCTTAGCTGCATTGCGTTGCGTTTCCGTTCCGTTTTGTAAGCGTTTGCGTATCCGGACCGTTTCCGGACCTGACAAAATGTGACATGCATTGTTTTTTCTGTCGTAAGCTGAACGGACTGCGCACGCGAGAACTGGAGCCCATAAAACACATAGGGATACATTGGGATGCATTTTGAGTGCAGCAGCGTACGGAGCCGGTCAGCACACAAAACAGACGTCGTGTGAACAGGCCCTTAAACCTGGACAGTTTTAACAGTTAGGGCTCATGCACATAAACACAGGCATATGGGAATGCAGTGTAACACATGCCTGTCTCTGCAGAGCCTGGAAGCCCCATCTGCTGCGTTTTTGTGCCTATAGGAATGTAATGACAAAATACACTGCACTGCAGGCATACACATATGGGTGTAAATTACCAAATGTGAAATGTGCGCAGGTATGCGAATGTAAAGAGCAGTACTTGCATTCACATGCGCACGCCAATGGCCATCAATTCCATAACACAGAAGTTTCACGTTCAAGAATTTACACTTATACACATGCAGGGGTGAACTCAAGTACCAGAGTTTACACATGTTATATGCATGTACATAGTTTGTCAATTGGCACAAAAATTAGCAGCAAGTGCTCCTGGGCATGGCAACTACAGACATGTTTTACGCTGCATGCCCATTTTCCTGTATTTACGTCCATGTGCATGAGCCCTAATAGTAAGAGATGATTCAGAAGCCTCTTTCCCTGCTAACGTAGCGACCTCACGTTAAAACACGCAAACAAGATACTGCAATATGGCATGATAAACAAACGACACGTTATATTCACAGCCGTTGTCTAAAATGTAAAATATATAAACCCCCCTCCCCTCAGGATAAGCTGCTAACATTATACAGCACCATTATAGTTTGTCAGTTTATCTGGGTTAGCTCACATTTAAAACTTTCCGTTCAGACATGTTTCAATCCTCATAGGTCCATCCGGGAAGTCGCATACAGTAGCACGTCTCCAATATGTCAAACTACTATTGGTTGTGCGTAAAACGACGTCTGAAACGTCTCATTGCAAATGCCAGTATGGTCCCCATTTTACTGGAGCTCAAATGCGAAGGATTCCTGCGGATTCCGAAAGCTCCAAGCCGTCGAGATCACAACTGGTGACGTCACGTCCGGTGACTTGCCAGTAGACGATTGAGACCAGATGTCGCTAGTGTGCGTGCGCCAGCAGTCACACAACGGTGAATGAATTGTTGCTGTTCCTGTGCGGCCACCCGATGGCACAACATGTAATTTGTCAGCAGAAGATACTCTCTAATTGGCTGCCTTTGGTTTGCAATGATTGGCTAATAGCTAATATTCCGAGCGTTGGGTGGCCCGGCGTTCTATCAAAGTTTGTGACCAATTTGGAATGTGTGACTGGTGACGTGGTCTGCCTGGAACAGCTGATCGGTGTCAAATGTCACTTATATCGGACTTTGTGAGTGCTGCAGAGTAAGGTGATTCACAAACAGTAACTGCAGCAGTGTTGCAAGCACCGCAGATATATTTTTTACATATATGCGATGCTCGCTAATTTTAACACTTTCACCATCCTCTGCGGCACTCACAAAGTCCGATAAAAGTGACATTTCAGACCGATCAGCTGTTCCAGGCAGATGGGTTCTCCTGCACATGCGCAGTGAGCCGAACTGCCGACAACGTGTTGGAATGCTTGACCTAATGGGCAGTCACATTCCACCGCTGTCAAACTGGGCGGGACCACATTGGAATGTGTGACCATGTCACCGTTCACACATTCCAACGTAGTCACAAACTTTATTGAACACCTGCAGGCGGCTTGACCGGGGTTGGAGGACTCGACTGGGATTGTGAAGCCAGTGCAGTGAGGGGAGTTCGAGAATTAGACAAGGATTCTTACACCGCCAGGGCTGGCGCCATCTGGTCTCCTATTGGTAAGTCACCAGACCTGAAGTCACCAGTTGGTTGAGTTTTAAGGGATCGCCTAAAGGAAGTCAGTGTGGGAGATAGACGGACCAGTTGGGGTAGAGAGTTCCAGAGAATGGGAGAGACTCTAGTGAAGTCTTGGAGGCGAGCATGGGAGGAGTTGACGAGGAAGCTGGAAAGCAGGAGGTCTTTTGAAGAGCGGAGGGGACGGTTAGGGTGATATTTTGAGACAAGGATTGAGATATAGCCGGGGGCAGAGTTGTGGATGGCTTTGTAAGTAGTTGTTAATATTTTGAATTTTATCCTCTGGGCGAGTGGAAGCCAGTGGAGGGATTTGCAGAGGGGGGTTGCAGACACTGAGCGTTTGGTTAGGTGGATGAGTCTAGCAGCTGCATTCATGATAGACTGAAGGGGGAATAGCCTGTTTAGAGGTAGGCCAATGTAGAGGGAGTTGCAATAGTCAAGACGAGATATAATAAGTGAATGGATGAGTAATTTTAATATATATATAGGAGCATGGAGGGTGTTGTCAAATATGTTAGGTATGCCATAGTTATGATTAATAGTGTTTTTGTGTAGACAATAACTAAAGGTACACTGTGTAGAATTTAATGATCTTTAGTGAGGCTACATTGTCAGTGATGTCCTTAATCTTCAGTGTTCAGTTTTGTATTCTCAGAGATGGCCCTGGTCTCAAGCAAGTGGCTATATCATACAGGCATAGACTCCTTTAGCTGCACATATATGATAACAACATCCAACCTTCTTCATGTGTTGCAGCCCAGAAGTGCCCAGGATCCTATATAGCCCTAGCAACTCCTCTGTTCTTTCTAGGAAAAGCACACTTTCTCTGCACCTAGTGCCTTCAAACGGTGCCAAGTGGTGTTTTTCAGAGCCCATCTGGCTCACTAACTTTGAGGTCTATGACTGTGTGCCTTGTGCCTCCTGCCCAAGCCAGTTCTTTCCCTGAGAATTTGCTCATTTACCTTTGCCTCACCTAGCTTTTCGTGTCACAGATCATTCCCCTTTTCCTTTACCTTTGATCCCTGTCACAGGAAATCTGGACTTTCCACCAGGTTAGGGGAATAGCAACATTTGTTGCCTGTTGACGACGCGGACGTTTCGACTCTTGGGATTTTCCCTCTGATCATGCCTGGTTATCACAGTAAACCATTCAGACTCTGGTGTCCCCACCGCTGGACCCCTGGAGTTCATATCAGCTCACATTTTATTCTCCCTGTTTCGGGGGTGCATGATCTGTCTACACCGCTTACAGCTTTTGAAACTGTGCTGTAAAGGGAAACCTGTCAGACACTCATTGTCTTTGATCTAAAAACTCCTCTGTACGCCTCCAGAAAAGTTTTGGCCACCTTTCCCAAATAAGTGTGAATCAAACCTGGGATAACCTTTTCAGACCAACAAGAGAATGCACTGTGCTTTGCCCATAGCTCCTTTATCGATAGCAAATTCCAAGAACAAGGCTATAAGATCTTATCCAGGTGATACAGAGTCCGCTAAGTTTTACACAAGATAGATAAAAGTATCCCCCCTCATCTGTTGGAGATGTGACCTTTGAAAAACAGGGGGGGTGGCTGTGGTGCCCCCTCCCAGAACAAAGGGAGAACGTTAGTGAGCAATTGCTGTGCGTTCCAGCAGCTGCTGCTCTGGTGTGAATAAGCCCTTGCTTAGAGGGTATATATAAATATTTTTAACAACTTCTTTAATAAACAAAAACATTTTTTTTAATACAATTCATTTCTCTTAGCCTGTAACATG